GAATGTATGCGGATAAAATATTGTTGGTCACGTGAGACGTGAGTTACAGCGTTGTTATAGAGCAACTGTTGAAATTAAGTGTATCGTAAAGTTGTATTTGGAAAGAATAAACCAGTTTTATTTAAGAAAGGACTTGCGTCGCTAAATTAACTAACGAACAGAGACGTAACAATACTTTACTGACATACAGGGAATGATCTAGTTTGTTTTTATCTGCTTCTTTATTCATAGATTTTTGTGTCCATGTACACAAGTATGTTTGTTGTGTCAGAAATTTTGAAAAAAAGATACTGTGGATTTAGTATTTGACTAATTGTTAAATTTTCGATAATTTATTGTGCTTATTCTCTTTCATTTTAGCATATGGGTAATGTGGCTGCCTGTAAGGCTAGGACTAAATCAAGAGGAAAGCTGAGAGACAAGAGAGCTGACATTGTTGGTTAAATGTTTATTTTAGGCCTAACTGTTGTGAAACAAATATCACATTAAAGCCATATGTTTATCGTGTGAAGTAAAATGAGAATTTAAAATAAAATTGAATATGATGATGATGATGATGGTATGTGAAGAAAATGTAACAAAAGTTTTTTAGCTATATTTAAACCTTAAAACCCATTGAAATAACTTGAAAAGAAACAAACAAATCTGAAACTTTTGCTCATGAAATTAGTTGTGTTAAATTGTTTAAGAACTATAAAATAGTTGCAATTCAACAGTTTCTGTACATTAGAAATGTTTAATTGACAGACTTATGTTCCCTGTTTTTGAACATTTTTTCCTTACATGCCTGTACAAATAAAACTGAAAAAGTTTTGAATGCAAAGAATCAGTACAATTATCTATAGCTCATCACATGTGAAAATCATCATTACTTGTCAGTTCTTCCAAGTATGTAGCTTGAAATATGTAGAATAAAAGTATCACAGACTTAGGTAGTGATCAAAGTGAACTGAACCTTAAGGAACCATGAATATACTTACATATATCACAAAAACTTGGGTTATTCTCAAAAGAAAGTAGATCTAATTTATGTATTTTATATTTATACATAATGAATATTTTTGACAAATGTTATGGAAAGATAATACTATATGGTATCAAAGCTAAAATTCTAGTAAATCTTCTAATACTGGTGACTTTTTTTTTACTGTATTTCTGTCATTGTAAACTTAAAAGTTGTTTGTTGATGTGTTGTAGAAACATATGGATTAAATAGAATATCTTTGCATCATGTATTTTGTAACAATGTAGGTTGGCAACTACATATAAATGCCAAATAAAAATGGAAAAAAAATTTTGCCACTTCATTGTATTGTGGAGATATGGGAATACGAATTCTTATTTATTGTATGTATTATTGAGATTGTGTTTGTGACTTTGTTCTTACCTGTGTTTAATCAGTAGATTCTCAAAAAAATATACCTCAAAATTAAACAGGTACTAAAATTTTTAACAAGTCTTGAAATTGAGTAGTTTTGTATGTTATAGACTTGCATGCTTGATTTCATTAAAGCACTTTTATTTTAAAGACGTGTTTGTGTACTTTAGTAACTAATAAAATAATATTGTGTCTGTGAGCCTTAATAAAACTATCTTAAAAATTTCATGTATGTGTAAAAAAAACATTAAATTTTTAACATTAAGAAGATAGTTGGTTTCAAATAATCTGTTCCTCACAGCTAGTGTTTAAAGAAACTTTTGTTAACTTATTGTTAAAAGTTTTCATACAACTGTAAGATTAATTCTGTGCACTTGTTGTTATAGAGAATGTTTAATACATGACTTTAAAAAAAAAAAGGCAAGTGCACTTGTACAAAAGTACTTTTATTGTGTTTTATTTTAATAAACTACTGTTAAATATGATACAAATAGTAAATATATTACCCAAATTTGTTTTATATTGTCACTGATATATTTAATATTAATACATTTTGTGAGTAGTTAAATTATGGAAAGAATAGGAATATGTAGATGTTTGCAATTTCATAATACAAATAAGATTTCAAATACTACTGCGTTTGTTGTATCCTGGTGAGCTCGGGTACTGGGTGAGAGTCCTCTTCAGCACTGGATATAGCAGATTTAGTGTGGTTGGTATATTGTTATAAATTCCTTTTTATTTCCTCACAAGTTCTTAGAATGTTTTTAATCTGTAAGTCATATTTGAAGTAATGGCTGAAGCAAGGAATGTTTTAATTGGTACATAAAGTTAGGACTACCATAGAAGATTTATCCATTATTGAACATACATTAAAGACTGTGTTGAACTTTTTTGCTTTTTACAGTAATAGAGAAAAATGTATGTATGTTATTTTGTAATTATAATATATTATTCTCTTACATTATAGTAAAATTGGCATTTAATAGAAGTATTGGTTTGTGACATGGGACAGTTTACTTGGTAACACGTAATAGAATGCTTCATTGATTTAAATTTTTATGGCAGGAAATTTAAAGGTTGATATATTGGAAATATATTAAAATAGTTTTGTGATTTCGATATGTGTATGCTTCCTTTATTTGAGTGTCAAGTCTTACAGTGTCCTCATCTGTTCTGTATGTTTTTGTTTTTCAGCTATTGTGTGTGGAATTTAAAGTCACTGAAATATGTATGGTGTATCTGTTATTGACAAAGTAGAAATTATTCTATGTTTTTAGAAATTATAGACATTTGTATTACTTGTAGTGTAGAAAATGTGTATCTTTAAATAAGAAAATACTTCATTTAGTGGATATCTGTAGATCTTTATCTTTAATCAGTATTAATCCATCAGAAACTTAATAATTAGTGTTTATTACCTTTATTTTTATAATAACATAAAATTAAAGGACAACAAGGGACCTGTTGGTTCATCTCGTCCAGTCAATCCACTAAATTGAATTAAAAAAACAACTTTAAAACCAGTCCTTATCATTCAAACATTTATTAAGCCTTCTTTTAAACTTGCTTAAATTAACTGCATCAACCACATCGGAAGACAACTCATTCCAAAAACAAGCCATCTTGTTAGAAAACTAAAATTGTCTTACCAAAAGATATTCTTACTTTGTCAATATTTATACTGGTGTCTCTAATCCTACTGTCTCACCGTTAAGTAGGGAAAAAAGATGCCCCCCAGTGGCACAGCGGTATGTCTGCGGACTTACAATGCTAGAAACCGGGTTTCGATACCCGTGGTGGGCAAAGCACAGATTGCCCATTGTGTTGCTTTGTGTTTAACTTCAAACAAGCAAAAGATGTATCAAAACCATCAATTCCTTTAATAAATTAAAACAATTTTTAAGAGATTTTTAACCTGTCTATGTGTAATGACCTTTCCATCCCAGTTATCTAGATGCCTCCTTGTAAATCTTTCCAACAGTTCATTGTCCTTTCTGAACACACTACTACAAATTTGACCTATACAATGGAATTATAACTTCTTTAAAGTTGATTACCTGAATCTAGAAGAGACAAAGGATGAATTGTAGTGGTACTATGGTGTTTAGAGGATAAATTGTAGTGGTACTCTGGTATGTAGAGGAAATGAAAAACAGGTTTATTATGTCTATTGTTGATGATTTTTTTCTTTTAAAATATATAATACTTTTAATAGTAGTATAAAGAATCCTAAAGTAAAGATGTATTAATATGTAGGAAAACGGCAATAATATGGATGGATTAAAACATACACAAGTTCACCATAGCGAAGAACTTTCCAGTTGAAATGAGGTCAGCGTTCTTTACCCCATCCGCCTCCTAGCCTTTTATAAAGTGAATGTTACGTCTCTGTTCATTTGTTAATTTTCCGTAGAAATTCTTTCCGAGAAACTTCAGCGATACAAGTTCATTCTTA